TTAATCGCCTACTCTAACACAAGGTGGGGAAGCTTTTTTCTGCCAAGGGCCATTTGGATATTTATAACATCATTCTCAGGTGATACAAAATTATCAACTTAAAAATTAGCCTGCTATATTTGGCCAAAATATTTAATTTAATTAATTTAATTAATTAATACAGTAAGATAAAATTTAATAATGCCCTGACAGGGCCAAACCAAATGATTTTGAAGGCCTTATGTGGCCCTCAAGCCAGACATTCCCCACCACCGTATTCTCACATGAGATCTACCTTTAAACTTTATCTGTATGACAAATATGTTTGATATATTTTTTAAAAAGACACAATTAAGAATGCTCTAAAACGGAGTTTAGATTTTAACGCCTTTGTTTTGTATCTTGCACATTGATTAATAGCACTGTACCTTTGGCAGCACTTGTGAAAAGAAAGTCTGTTCCAATGTCAGGTGGTTCATATGAGGTAAAAACATCTGTACAATGGTTTTCAGAATTTCTATAAAGCAAAATAGTAACACATTTTGTAGGAATATTAATCATGTCAGCCAACAAAGATCATTGCTCTTTCCAAATGGGAAAATATGTAAGCACAACCAACAGAAAGCACTGTACAGTTTCAAATGCCATAATCTGTGTAGAGAAACTATTAAGTGAAATAATAACAAAAAAAGGGAAAATATGTCCAGCAACTGAGGCCCACTGAATAGGATCTATAAATAATTCTTAAAAGATCCATTTTAAAAATGTTTGCAGAACTGGCCCGGTCAGTGTGGCTCAGTGCTTGAGGAGGCCACAGTTCAATTCCCAGTGAGGACATACCCGGGCCGTGGCCTCGTGCAGGAGGCGGCCAATCCATGATTCTCTCTCATCATTGATGTCTCTCTCTCTCCCTTCCTCTCTGAAATCAATAAAAAAAAAAAAAAATTTTAATGTTTAGTTTTAAAATTAAGCATAAAGGTCTCAAAATATTATCCCAAATTTAATATATGTAAACATGAACATACAAAGAACAATAGGTAATCTGGCGGGAATGTACAGAAATGGGATGAGAATATTCTCTATTAAAGTCTTAACCATTTCAGATCCATGAGTGTCTTGTTTTTTTCTGTGAACTTCATATTTTCTACAATGAATATGTATCTCATACTCAGTATAAAAAATAATTCTTTTCCTAACAAAGATTCAAAATTATAAACAAATATTCCACAACCATTCTAACTCAAAATAAATGTAAACTACTGTCTAGTCATTACTCTTCACCACCTCTCCTGGCTAACTAAGTAAATCACATCAAATAAGGGTGATGAAGACAGATAAAGATGAGAAAGTCAACTTTTTCCAAATGACAAATGTGTCATCACCTAAATCATCAGCTTTCTGTAACCTAGAAACTATTTTTTAAAGCTACTTCACATGTTAAGAGGCTGAAAGCAATAGTCTGCAAGTTGTTTCATAGAGGTTAACCATGGCTTAACTAACATTTAAAGTTTGCATTGTGCTTACACACACATTATTAAACAGGATATGTTTGCTATCTATCAAAAATGGAATTTAAATCTGTAAGTCCTGTAATTAGAAGAAATTTGGGCATTTTAATTGAAAGTTAGAGAGACTGTAGCAGGACAATAGGAAGATTCAATTTGAAGGGGATCCAATACTCTATTGATAAATATGATTCACATCTTAACATCAAAATAAATCATAAGATAATCTGACTTACGAATATGCTCAATCCAACTGTCAGAATGTTGATACACGGAGTAAAATAATTAAGGAAAACCATACTATGAGGATGTTCACTACTGAAAACAAATTTAAAAGAATCATTCTTAAAGTTTAAGCAATAATCAGTAAGAGATTGAAACTAGACTCAAATTACTGGCATAATTTTGCTTTTAAATAGTTAAAACTGGCTCAGGGGATAAAGCAACGGCCTGTGGACTGAAGGGTTAAGGACACATACCTCAATTGCAGGCTCCCAGCCCTGGTCGGGGGTATTATGTGGGAGGGAACCAATCAATGTGTCTCTCACATGGGTGTTTCTCTCTGTCTCTCCCTCTCCCTTCCACTCTCTCTAAAAATCAATTTCGGGGGGGGGGGGAGGGAAGGAAATGTCCTCAGGTGATGATAAATAAATAAAAAGTTAAAGCCTTTAGATTAAAAAATATATATATATTATGAAAATATTTTCAAAATCACTCCAGGGATATTCTGGACTTGGAAAAAGTTTTTTTTCCAAGCTATTAGGTAAAATATCTTTGACAGCTGACCAACAGTGCTCCAATGAGCCATGGATTTCTGGTTTCTCAGGCAGGAAAGCAATTTCTCTCTCCTCAGCATTTCTACAGTACTTTATCTGTAGCTGTCTTAAGTCACTCACCACTTTCTATCTTCTTTTCATATTATTTTCACACCTTTCTTACCAGACTGAAACTCTTCTGCACATAACAGGAGCTTAGAAAAATTGGCACAGTAAGTTATCCTAACAGTAATCAAATTATAAAACATATACTTATAGCCCAGCCAGTGTGGCTCAGTGGATTGCACATCATCCTGTGCAACAAGAGGTCACTGGTTCAATTGCCAGTCAGGGCATGTGCCCGGATTGCAGGCTTGATCTCCATTGGGGGATATGCAGAAGACAGTTGATCAATGATTCTCTCTCATCATTGATGTTTCTATCTTCCTCTCCCTTCCTCTCTGAAAGCAATAAACATTTTTTTAAATAAACAAAACAAACAAGACTATTTCTGTTAATGCTAAAGTACTCTTTAGAAAACAGGGCAAAGTAATAAAAATGTTGCAAATTGGGTTTGTGAGAACCACCTAAAGTTGAGGCCTCTGGAAAAGGCCCAGTGAGGTGGAATTTGAGCCAAGACCCAAATGAAGAGCTGCACTAAAGGCTGGAGGACAAAGGAGGCTGAGGGAGTAGCAAGCATACAGACCTAGCGGTGGGGGATCGTCATGGCGTAGTGAGCTAGGCAGGAAGAAAAGGCAAGGCTTAGATTACATGAGGCCTAACGGTAAGTTTGGTGAGGGGGGGGGGTGTGGTTAAAAAGGAAATGACAGGTCTTTCACCCAGAACTATTTTTAGAGAATGGATTATAAGAGGACATAAGGAAACTATTAACAGTCCAGGTGAGAGGTGATGGAAGTTTAGAATAAACTGATAGCAACTGGGGATGGAAATAAGTGAATGCATTCAAGATACAGCTTGAAGTCAGAGGCAAAAGAACTTGCTGACTAGATGTGAGGATTCAAGATTTGTGAAACCATTTACAGGTGAGTCCTCACTTAATTTATCAATAGATTCTGTGATTTAAAGCAACACGATGTATAACAAAACCACTTTTTCCATAGGCCAACTGATCTAAACAAAACTTCCTATTTTATAATGAAATGACTTTGAAAGAAATTAGTTATCCTAGGACCTGCCGTATTTCAATGAAGAAAAGTGGAAGAACATTTTTCCTCTTTCTAAATGTTGTGTTAGATGCAAAACCAGGTGGGAATGTTGACTTTCAATTATTGAGGTTCCCCTATAAGTTCGAGGGGAAAAGGAACCATGTTCCTCATGTGTTACTCCAAAGCCTGCCAGCCTGCCTGATACATATTAAGGACCCAGAACACGTCTTTGAGAAGGATATCTATTTCGTTTCGTATCTATTCCTTTTATTTTTATTTTTTTTCCAAGTCCAACTCCTTGAGGATGGGGATTCCTTATCTTCACGACTAACATCAGGCTTTGGTACCTAGTGGGAGTGTGCTAGTGCCTAGCCAATGGTCGGCAAACTGTGGCTCAGAGCGGCTGTTTGTCCTCTGTTGACTAATGAGTTTGCGACCAACTGGCCTAGAGACGAATGACGCCTATGGGATGGCAACACTGGTATTTGGCTTTGACTGTAAAAGTTATTTATGCAGTGTTGGGACTCTCTCAAATAAAGGTCATTTTTCCTCTTCCGTGTAGTTTTATGTTGAAGGCGAGCGCAAAAACATGAAAAAAATATATATTACCAAAATAACATGAAAGGCTAATACCCGAGGCACATTTACAACCACAAAGGCGGTCAGCACCTGGACAACTGAGGCGTCAAACCACTCAACCCCAACAGATGGAGCCAATAACAAAAGCAACTCCTCCTGGTCAGCAACGCAGGAAAGGAGGTGGGAGAGGGGAGGGGAGGAGCCCTTCAGCATCTCTAGTTCTCACAATACTGGGGAAGGTATTATTCAGACCCACCACGCATCTTAGGATAGCTCAGAGCGACTTCTGCCTCACCCAGCTTAGCGTCAGGTCTCTACCTGTTACTGTATAAGCCACTGAAGAGATGGTGACCCTTACAGCTCAGGTCCGAGTCCTCGCCTCTCCCACGCTCCTGTCCAAGAGCCGTGACGAGCACAGGAAGAAAAAACAAAACAAAACAAAAAAAACCTCCACGGCACAGAGCAATGGACGAAAATGCCACTCCCACCTCCATCACCGAGGGACAGAGGACACCTCTGCGAGCCCGAGCAGTCCCAAAGCCAGGCCTGCCCTGGCTCTCGGGCACACGGCCCCCGCTCGCCCTCCGTCCCCTCGCGTCTCCGCCTCGCTCACAACAAAGAACCGAGAGATTCCTGGTCGCGGGAACGCCACACGGCCAGGCGGCGGCGGGCGTGGCCCGGCTGAGGGGAAAGACGCGACACCTGCCGCACACTCCCCTCTGGGGGCAAAGCGACAGCGAAGGATATGAGGAGCCGAGGCAGGACGGTCGGCAGCTCCCGGCGGCACAGCTCCTCGGGCCAGCTGCCTAACTCCTCCAGGGGGACGGCGCTCGCCGAGGCGGCGCGCTCCTGAGACATGCTTTTCCCCGCAGCAACCAGCTTCCAAACTGTCCCGCCACCGCCGGGACCGGAAACGCCGCCGTCCCGGCAGGCCTTGCGAGCGCTCCGACAGCGACAATACCATAGAGAGGGGGCGGGCCGCGTTCCTTGTTGAGCCCGGGGCCCGGCGCGGCAGAGAAAAACCGGGCTTCTCTGGCCCCCGCGGAGGACTCGACTCACTGGTGCGCGCTTTCAGCCCAGAGCATCTGCGGGGACACGAGGTTTCTACACGCGGCGGTGAGCTGGGAACTTGCGGAGCTGTGAGCGTCCCAAGGTCTAGATTTCTCTTGTTACATTGAGGCGCTTTGGGGAGATGAAAGCCGGAAGACCCCAGATTTGCTACCGTCGATCCCAGGGGGCTTTGAGATTGCAGGTCTGCTGGGGTTGGATCCGGTTCCTGTCCACTTCGCCGTGTGGCCCTACTCTGTACGTCTCGTTGAATGGGAATAGAGCCCCCACTGCCAGAAATGTGCGATCTGAAGCAGATCTAGTACCGTGAGGGCCTCGGGAAAGTTGCTTCCATTTTCCACAGGCCTCTCCAAACCGTTCAGAGTCCTTATTTTGTGTTTGTTCTGCCGCCAAACTAACCTTCACTGATGACTCCAAGAATCACCCCACTCCCATACACTTAGGGCTGCTGATATCCACTAAAGTGTTGTGAGCTCATCTGGATGAACTTGCACCAAAGTAGAGTCGTGCAAGTTCTTACAGGGCTACACATTTACCAAAATAAACTCTTGAATTCTTGTTACTTGGAACAGGAACAGACTGAGTGAAGAGATTCTGTTAGTTTAGTAGGTAAATACGTTTGGACAGGCTCATGACAGGTGACAGACAACAAGTAGCTAGGCTTGTCAGTTCCTTCCTGAAAACTTGGGACTTTTGTTTTTTTGCTATTGTAGTTGTTGCTGCTGCTGTTCTATTATTTGTTTTTACTCTTCATTCTCTAATCCAGCTTTTTGACCCCTGACGGGTTGTGTGTTTCCAAATCTCTATCTCCCTCAAAACTTGTATAGAAAAAGCAGCTAGCGGAGGGGGTTGGAATGATTACTGTTTAATATCATATTTTAAGGAAATATGTCATTTTGCTTTTTACTAACAATTTTTTTTTCCTCCAGAGTTAAACAGAAAGCAAAAGTCTCTAAAAAGTGATTTGGAAACAACTCTAAATATCTGTAACTGTATAAGCTACTAAAGAGAAAGTGACCCAAACAAAACTACTTGAGTAACTGAAACAGGTTCACGTTCTTGTCATCAATTCTATCCAGAAGCTGAGGAGTCTCCCTTTGAACTGAAGGATTGTCCGAGGATGGCCTTCCAATTTAATTTCACTATAGAGGACCATCTGGAAAATGAACTAACGCCCCCTGGAGATGGAACTTTGACCCCGAGTTCCTCAAAAGAATCTTCAGTCTCAGAAAGTCAAAAAGGTAAACACAGAGACACAAAATGTTCTACAGAACAGTCTGTCTTCCCTCCGAGTCACTCCTGGGGACCTAAGTCAGTGGGACACGCAGCTCCCTCCCAAGACACATGCAACTCACCCAATGCAGCTCCCAGTTCAGGGAACTTAGAGCCTCATGAAAATCAGCCTTGCCTGAGACTCGCCAAAGAGCATGCTGTGCCGGAAGATCTAAAGGAAGTGTTGGAAACTAAAGTCATAGAAACATTACCAGGTCTCCAGCACGTTAACCTATCGGTAGTGAAAACCATCCTGTTGAAAGAGAACTTCCCTGGAGAAAACATCGTTTCAAAAACCTTCTCGTCTCACTCTGATCTGATTACCGGTGTTTACGAAGGAGGTTTAAAAATCTGGGAATGTACCTTTGACCTCCTGGCTTATTTCACGAAGGCCCAAGTGAAATTTGCTGGGGGGCGAGTGTTGGATCTTGGCTGTGGATCAGGGTTGCTGGGTTTAGTGGCGCTCAAGGGAGGGGCCAAAGAAGTTCATTTTCAAGATTATAACAGTTTGGTGATCGACGAAGTAACTTTACCTAATGTGGCAGCTAACTCTTCTCTGGAAGATGAAGAAAATGATGGAAACGAGCTGGACGTGAAAAGATGCAGGAAATCAAAAGCAGCACAAAAACTAGGTCAGTGCCGGTTCTTTTCTGGGGAGTGGTCTACGTTTTGTAAGCTCGTAACCAGTGAAAAATACTTTGAAAAATATGACCTCATTCTCACCTCAGAAACGATTTACAATCCGGATTACTATGATACTCTGCACCAAACATTCCTTCAATTGTTAGGTAAAAATGGGCGGGTACTTTTGGCCAGCAAAGCACATTATTTTGGTGTAGGTGGAGGTGTTCATCTCTTTCAGAAGTTTGTAGAAGAAAGAAATGTATTTAAGACTAGAACACTTGAAATAATTGATGAAGGACTAAAAAGATACCTAATTGAAATGACTTTTAAGTATCCTAGTTAATGTCCATGGAGTGTCCTAAGTAAAATAAATAGAATAACTAAAAATTTGTTTAGAATGTTTAATTTCTGCTTTGCTATTTTTTATAATAAAATTAGCAAGGGTCTTATTATTTTTATTATTATTATTATTGTTGATGGTATTACAGATGTCTCCCACTTTCTCTCCCTTTACCCTGCTCCTCCCAAGCCCTACCCACCCCCCTCAGGTCTTCACCATCCTATTGCCCATGTCCATGGCTATGCATATAAGTTATTTGGATTATCTCTTCTCATCCCCCCCAACCCCACATCAAAGTATGTCAGTCTGTTCCATGCCTCCATGCTCAGTTCTTATTTTGTGAAATTAGAATTCAATAAAATAAATTTACTGGACATTTGTTAACTAGGTACTTTGTATAACATCTTGCTAAATATTTATAACCTTAGGAGGCATATAGCATCCTCATTTTAATAATGATCATAATAGCTAACAGTCCTCAGTATTTACTATGTGCAGGGCAGAAGAGCTTTACATATGCTAACACTTAATAACAGCCCTGAATTAGATTATGATTCAGATTATAATTAGTATCTCCATTTCATAAAAAAATTGAGAGTCAAGGAATTAATTAAATCCCCATCACATTTCTCACCTTCAACCAAAATCTGAAATGATGTCTATTTAAAAGCTTTCTTACCAGCCCAGTGGTCTCAACCTTACCACTGCCTGTTTTTTATCATAAATATTTCTTAGCACCCTTGTATTATTCTGAAATGGAAGTCACAAAGAATCTTGCCAAACTGGTTTGGCTCAGTAGATAGAGCATCGACCTGCAGACTGAAAGGTCCCAGGTTCGATTCCGGTCAAGTGCATGTACCTTGGTTGCAGGCACATCCCCGGAAGGGTGTGTGCAAGAGGCAGTTGGTAGATGATTCTCTCTCATCAATGTTTCTAACTCTATCCCTCTCTCTTCCTCTCTGTAGAAAATCAATAAAATATATATATTTTTTAAAAGAATCTTAATTATGCCCATCATTAAAAATTATATTTTACATAAATCCCTAATGTGAGTTTATATAGTCATATTATAAACATATCATGTATATAAGCTTAACTAATATCCATTATCTCATAGGATACAAAAAAATTAAGAGAAAAAGAAAACAATGTTTTCTTTTCCTTCTGAAGGAAACTTTCAGGATGTTCTTTAATAACTTTTATATATACCAGGAGTGGGGAACCTTTTTTTGGCCAAGAGCCATTTGGATAATTTATAACATCATTCTTGTCCTATACAAAATTATCAACTTGAAAATTAGCCTGCTATATGTGGTCAAATATTTAATTAACTCACCCCTGTCTTGGTACAGCCAGACCAAATTATTTTATCTTCCTCCTCCCCCTCCAATGATTAGATAGTTGTCTTAACCCCATCTAGGTGTATCCTTCCTTTGCCCATTTCTGAACAAGTATTAAACTGTTTTAATCAGTGTACCTATATAATGTAATTTTATCTGTCAGGCAAGACTTTCCATTTCAAACATTTCTTCTTATTATTGAAGGTATAGTATATGTTATTTACTATTTATATATGTTTATTTTTCCCAGGTAAACCCTACAATCAATCTGACAATTTGAACAATTCCTTTGGTATTTTGGTTGATATTATATTAAATATATAGCTTAAATTGGTGGTAATTAGAACACTTAGACTATTAAATATTCTAATCCAGTCTGACAGAGGGGAAGAAATCCAAATTGGGGGAAGAAAGCAATGAAAACATTAGAGATAGAAATTTTATTATTATTCAAATAGCTATGCCAACTGGGGCCCTGAGAAGCTGCCAAAGGACTTTCCCATCTAACTTACACATCCCTGTATTACAGGTACCAATCAGAGCAACACATCCGGAACAAAATTAGAATTCAGAGTATCTCAGAAGCCCACCTTTCAGATCCCAATTTCTTTCAAAATATTCTTTACAGTAGTTCTGAGCAAAACCCTTAGCTAGCTGCTGAAGGCTGGGGCTGAGCCGGGGCTGGTTCTCAGGGCGGCAGCTGTCCTGAGGAGGAAGATGAGTACTGTGAGTGAGGGACAGCAGCCTTGTTTCTGGGAAAGTAATATCTGATAAGGATAGTCAAGGAAGATACATTTCACCACTTTAAAATCAACTTTACTAGAACTACTAGTTGTCTAGTTTAGTCCTTGTTAAGATAATGACTTCAGAAGTAGAATACCTTTAATTCCCTTTCAGCATATTGTAAATCCTTCAGATGTTGATAGTACTTGTTACTGCTACTGCTGATGTACTAGAATGTTTTTGATTCTGCTTAAATTATGCAAGGGTACAAAACATGACTTCTCTACTAAGTTTTTATAGTAATTTAAATACCTTGAAAACCAACACTGAGTGAATTAATTTCATTAAGTAGAAAAAGATAAGAGTTTCTATATGATTATTACATTTGGACTTCTTGTAATAGTTCAAACAATCTAACTTATACAACAAAGAGGTCATTAGAAGAAAATACTAGTCTTAACAAAACTAGATTATATCAGAGGAATGGTGGCATGACAGACCTCTTAGTCTCTCCCATGGAAGTTTCAACAACCTGAACACCCATATTTCAACCAAAGATTCCCTGCTCAAGCACAAATATGCCTGAGAGACCCACGCAATGAAACATCTAAAGATGGGCATGTGGAGCAAAAGGGGAGGCAAAAGGGAGTGGGGCTGATGAGTCAGGAACACAGGCCCTTTAGCAGCAGGCAGAGCACACAGCCAGACTCGGCTAGGGGAGGGGAGGAATCTGGTTGTTGTGGACACGCCCTTCTGCCCAGTGAAACAGACAGACTCTGCAGGAGAGCGCAGTACTGGCTATGGTTGAATGGAGGGCAAAAGCACAGACCCTTCTGGGGCCAGACAGAAGGGAGGCGACAGGAGGGGCCTGCACAGGACTAAGTTCTATCAGGGATCCTCCCAGGACCACAGGGTCCCAGTGTGCAAGGGTAAGAAGGGCCAATCAGCTTCTTCAGGAAGACCTCCAGCTGTTCCTCACCCTTGATGCCCACAAATTTGTCCATCACGTCCCCACTCTTGATGGCCAGCATGATGGACACAGCGAACGCCTCATACCCTATGGCGAGGTCTGTGGGGCCATCAATATCCATCTTGGCCATTACCACCTTTCCATGCTGCTTGGCCACCACCTTCTCTAACCTTGGCCCCAGGATCTTGCAGAGGCCACGCCACTGTCCATGAAAATCCACAACCACTGGTGTCTCACTGTTGACAACTCAATCTTGGAAGTCAGGTCCATCTTGGATGTTAAAGGTTGTTGGATAGACTGGTGGTATATAATGACCAGGCATCGCTGGATGCTACTGTCAGGTCACCAGGACTTTGTGGGTTCTATAGAGCCCACAGACCTTGAGATTTTCTGGAGATGGCAGGTACCTCCTCAGGAGAAGTCACTGAACTATCAGAGAGCCTGGCTCTCTGGAGGGCAGGCCCTCCCACCCTAGGCCTCTGCCCACTCGGCTGCTGGACCCCATGGGAAGGTGCCCGCAGAGTACCTCAGCCAAGACACCACCTCCAGCCACCCACCTGGGTCTCCTCTCATGTATCTTTTAGCTCTTGGCACCCAGAAAGGCTTGGATGTACTTGTCTTCTTCGATAAAAGTTAGAAAGTGCTTCTTGGATTTTCTCTCATTAAAGAGGGGCACAGTGAAAAATGGGGCAGAGGAGGCTTTGATGCTGGGTGAAATAGTGATATCAGAAAACGTAAGCCATTTTCCCTTTTGAAGTGGGAGGAGACACTAGTAGAGTAACAAAAGGATACATGTAAGTTGGGATGCCTTTTGAAGCCAAGTGTTTCCGTATAAGTCGCTCAGTACCATACCAGTTGAAACCTTTCGTAGCATGCCCAATGCGTGGGAGATGGACACTTGCTGTTGAAAAGAAGAAAGAATAGATTATGATGTCTTCCTTCATTAAAAATGGACTGATGATGCCAAAACCGGTTTGGCTCAATGGATAGAGCATCGGCCTGGGGACTGAAAGGTCCCGGGTTTGATTCCGGTCAAAGGCATGTACCTTGGTTGCGGGCACATCCCCAGTAGGGTGTGTGCAAGAGGCAGCTGATTGATAATTCTCTCTCATCGATGTTTCTAACTCTCTATCCCTCTCTCTTCCTCTCTGTAAAAAAATAAATAAATAAAATATATATTTTTAAATGGATTGATGGATATATACACACACACACACACACACACACACACAGAAAATGATCTTTACTCTTAGTCACTCTGTAGTTTCCAATGGACCATCCCACTCAAAGCAAACAATTATAACCTCACGAATATTCTGGGGAGGGATGTAATATGGAAAAATAATTCTGTTGAAGACAAGGACTGGCCTACAGGTAGGCCCTGAAAAGAAGTAGGTACAATGGGAACAGAATATATGATCAATATTCGAGATGCAATTAAAATTAAGCAAAGATTCATTAATAAGTCAAAAAGTTCAAACTCTGAGACATACAAGTTTTGGAAACAACACTAAACTGTGGTTTTTGACAGAGAACTGTCTGCTGATGTGGACTGTGACTCTCCAAGAGAGGACTCGATAGAGGGCATTTCCCAACTGCATGTGACCAGTTTCCTTCATCTCTGGTGCCTCCTTCCTCATCTGTGAAATCATGGTACAAGTCCCCCAGTGGATGCAGATGATACACAGATCACAGATACAGGGATACAGAAGTAATTTGAAAAGAAAAAGGACTTTATAAATACAAGATGACAAGGTGGTTACTTCTCTCGCCTCTCACATCGGGACTTACCTTTACTATGCATACTGAACAGGTTCTTGACATTTCTCACTCCTTAAAAACCAAATTACAAAAACCCATCTACTCCTAAGGACAAATGGAGGAGCTTACCTTTCTTTTTCTTTGCTGCTAAAAAAATCTTCTTCAGGCCCTCTTCTAGGGCTGTCATCTTAATGCCAGACAGGACATTGGAGCGATCACGGTGCTGAGCCACAATCAAGGCCAACTAAGAGAA